TTTGTTTCGGGAGGGGCTGCTCACTGCTCATTGCTCATTGCTCATTGCTCATCGCACACTGCTCAACGCTCATTGCCCTATATCCCACCCAGCCGCAGGACTCCACTGCCGCCCGCGCCCCGCCCCATCTGGCCGCTTGCGCGCCCCATCCCCCCTCGATGGGGCCCGCCCACACCGGGGCCTCCCCCCTCCCGCCCACTGCTTTCTCAACGGCCCCGAGCCGGGGCTGCCCTCATTGCATACATAGTGCGCCTTTCCCTGCTTTTCTAGTGACCTAGCGTTCCGCACTGCCATTTGGCCAGCCCATGCTCCCGTACCGTTGCGTTTCTCCCCAATGCGCCATGCCACTTTGCCAGTCATACACACGTTTCGATGCGTGCCCTGTCAGCTGCTTGCGTTGCATGTCGCCTTGCTCCACCCTTGTTTTATTGCTTTCTCTGCTTTCGCCCGGTTCCCGTCCCGTTTCGGCGGGGAGTCTATGTTGCAAGTTAGTTCTTGCTTTACCAGACTTTAAGCCCACACAAGCAAGCACAAGCAAGTGAATGGGTCCCGGGGAGGCCTGGTGCCAGGGCTGCTGCTCCAGCGTAACGAAACCATCGGTGCTGATATGAAATGTCTAAAATCACTTTGCTGTGGACGCCTGCAGCTGCCACCCGCGACCTGCAAGCCACAACGCAGGATAAGAAGGTTGGTGCGGTAGAGCCCAAACCTGCTGCCGCCAGCAAGGACGATGAGGTGAAGGCTTCGATCTTTGGACTTGGCTTGGTTTGGGGTTGGGTAGGCCCTGTAATCAAGTCGGTTGTGACAGACATTGTTGCTGATAAGCTGAAGGCCAAGTTTGGCAGCAAGAAGGTGGACAAGCCGTGCGCTGAACTGATCAGCACCGCCATCAAAACGGTGTGCACCTGCCTGCCATCTGGGTGACATCGTCTCGTTCTGATGCTATTTATGTGGGTCGCACAAACAGTGCACTAGTGAGAGAACGCTGAATACGGCGGTGATTGTGGATGCCCATGTCCTGGCGTTGCAGGTGGACGATGCCAGCGAGGCCACCATCACGTCTCTGAAGAGCCAGTTGGCAGGGCTTCAAAAGTACAAGGCCCAGGTGGCGTCCCTGAACAGCCAGCTCAGCCAGTACAAGTCCAAGGTGCGACTCACCGCAACACATCAAGAGCAGCACATGTGCACTGCAGAATGGCAAACCCCTGTGCCAGCGGCAGGTGCTGAGTGAAGCCCACAGTGACCCCGCTCCCGTTGCCGCCCGTTTGGCTTGGCTTTGCAGCTGGCCGCTTCACAAAAGAGCCTCTCTACCTGCCAGGTATGTTCTGTGTGCTAGACCACACAAGCCTCTGCCATTGGCCCGTGTTGCACAGTGGGCTTACATGCTGCACCCGTTGCCTAGCAGGCTGGGTGTCACCTGAGCTGCCGCCACTATTGCAGGCAGATGTGGAAGATCTGCAGAGTCAACTGGATGACTGTGGAGGCACCACTGACACCACCAGCGACACCAGCGACAGCACCAGCGACACCACAGCAGAGACCAGCTCTGCAGACTGAAGCGACGCGACTGTCAGCCAGATTTGACATGCAAAACTCAGTTTGAATATGAAGACGACATGCCAAACGTCTCGATTGTGCCTTCCAATGGCAGCCACATCATCCACATGCGGGACCCCCACCCGGGCCTCCACGCCATGGCAGTGCCGCCCACCCCCTCTTGCCTCTTGCCCAACCATCCCCCCCTACCCTGTTTTCATACCTGCGCACCCCCACTAGGGTCCTCATAGCTGCGGCCGCCCACAGGCAGGCTGCTGGCGGCGCCGGCTCCAATACTAGCGAACCATGTAATAGCACAAGACATCCTGGCGGCCATGCAGCTGCTGCCGCCGAGGCCATCCTGGCATCTGCCCGCTGGTTCATTTGGTGCAGCGGCAAAAGTGATGGCCTGAGCTGGCACCGCAGCATGCTCAGCATGGGTCTCCTGTGAAGGGAAACACACCCTCTGTACCCACTTGAAATAGTTAATTTACAGAGGCAGCGCCAGGAGGCCGCATGCGCAATAGCAGTGCCAGTTTCGCTCATGAAAGGCAGACAGGTGCAGACAGACGGGTGAAGGAAAACGAGGGAGTGGGGGAAACAGCAGACCTGCGGGAATGGAGCATGCCATCGGTGTGTAGATGCACACCAATGCATGCATTGCGCTGGCTGGATGAAATGGGAGGGGAGCGCTCACAGTGATGCATGTGCATGGCATCGAGCGACAAAATGTAGACACGACACACAAAAGCAATGGGGCGGGTAGGAAT